GCATTGAATATGGGAAAGTTTGACAGGCCTCTTGAGTCTCACTGAATTCCATCCTTCCACCTGCCCCTCTTTCCCTGCCTGAACACCTAAACAATTATTTATTATTTGATAGTCTATTCAGAATATGCCTCTGCACTGAGCACTTGTATTTGCATCAAATTTTCCTAAAAGAGGAGTGTTTTCAAAACTACAGGGTTTTATTTTCATTTTAGTGAAACTATGTTTCATCATTTTTGCAAAAATATCTTCCGTTTCATTGTTTTGGAATATCAACTTCTGGAACACAAATTATGCTTTTTGTTGTTGTTAGTTGGTCTCTATCTTTCAAATATATTGACATTTTTCTAATACATTAGCTCATTTTTCTTTTCCAATAACTTTGGTTGTTTCAAGCTTTCCCTTCTTGTCAGTAAAGATTTCCACTAGGATCTATTCTATTTCCTACTACTTTGATAATCAGTTTTGTTCTGTAAGTTTTTTGTTCACTGTCACATCATTTTCTTAGATCTAAATATCCTTTTCCATCTCATTTTCCTGTTTTATCGTTCTTATTTTTGAGATCTTGCTTCATGGAACTTATTCTCTTATTGAGGTGTGCTATTTGTGGAAAGCAATTATAAAGCAATTCCATGGGTTCAGGAGTGGATGTTTTTCTTCTTGGTTGAATCTTTAAAAGTAGTTGAGGAAGGGCTATCTCATCCTAAGGAGCTTAGGATCATTTCCCCAGTTGAGTGTTGCTCCGAGGCCTTCATTTCTCCAGAGGCCATGTTTCTTCACCTTTCTCCATTTCACCAGTTTCTCCCCCAGGATCCTTTCTACTATTACTCCTTCACAAAGGAAAACAAGAACAACCGAAAATGTAGAGGTTAATCACTCATTTTGCTTCTTTCCAGATTTAGGAATGATAGAATTCCCAAGACATTTTCAGAAGGCTCAAGAGATAAGTCTCTGTTCTGATCAGACTACTGCTTCTTCTTTTTTCCCTGGTTATTGGTTTCTGAGGTATGTTGAATTGAGTTCTATAATTTTCTTTGCTAGTTATTGTTGAATATTGCTCCAGGTAGAGGAGGTATTTGTTCACTGGCTTATAGTTTGGGGAGACTCACTTCATTATTTAGCAGTGGTGAGAAATTATGCCGTGTATTTTCAAATTTAAATTGAAATTTAATTAAAATTAAAATCACAACTTAAATTCAGAATTTGGGTTTCTTTCAGACATCTGAAGGACGTATTACTTAATGAACATAATAATAATCACACTCCCTGTGTCATTTTCTGAAACATGAAATATTCATTTGTGTCCTCATTCCCAAAGGGCCCTATTTATAACTAGTTTTTGATTGATACCTACCAACTATCCCAACCAGTAACAGTCTTATCAGTGAATATAATCTGAGATGGAGAATAGCAAAATTGTAATTATGGGGAACACTAGAAGTGATTCTTCACACAACAGTAACAGTTTACAGACTTAGATTTTCATAATTAGATTGAGCTTTTCAAATAGACATTAAGTGACTACCGAATACAAAATATTCTCTTACTCTTGATACAACAACTGAGGAACAAAAGGATTGAGAAAAGGTGAAAATGCATTTTAATAAGGAATTCCATATTTACACTTAGATGTTTTTCTTTTTTACCCTAAAATAAGAAGACATGGTAAAAACACGAGTTTTCTTTATTATACCTATATCTGACATTACTACCACACCAACTCTAGGAAATTCCTTCATAATAACTGTTCCAATACTGTGTGGACAGCTCTAATGTCCAACATGTTGAGCAACATACTTAGCAACAGGAAAACACCCCTGATTCTGCCAGCTCCTGATGACAGACCTGAGTCAATATTTGCACATCCTTCAATTTCTTCCACAGTTATCACTTACACTGGCCAACATGAGCCACAGCATTGGGGTTGTACTTGGCAAAATGTGTCATTCACAGTGAATTCCAAGATTCTACATTGTAGATTTTTACACTAAAAGGACATTAACAGACTACCACATAAACCCAGGTATTAAACATCTCAGTTCTACCTAAAATGTTTAACCTGACTGGGTCAATATTAAGAAAACATCCAACCATATACAGTACTAGTAATTCAATAGCATATAAAGAGCTCTGAACAAAATTAATATAGACTGAAACATAACAACCAATATAAGTAGAATAACAAATAAGAATTGCTAGTAACAATTACACAATAAAACTAACTTTTAAAATAATCTCCAGAAATCTGCCCCTGGAGTTTTCACTGTTTGATCACATACTCTGCAATTACTTTCTCTTTGATTATTAATTACATAATGAGACATGTCATAGAGCACAAACACAAACTCCGCCCTAATGCACAATCACAATTTGTGTAAGGAAAGGACTTAATAGACCAAGATAACCAAAGAAATAGCTGATTTACATGATAACTAAAGAAACCTGATTATGGATATAAAAATTAATTTCCCTATGACCTATAATCTATCTTATCTGGCTTGTTCAGCAAAGTACAGCATGACATTGAAGAGCTAGCATCCCAGATTTAGTCACTAAAAATTGTAATAATAATAGTGACCATATACTTTAAGTATTTATTAATGCTTATGAACCTCACAAGAATGCCAAGAGACAAGCTGGAGGACATTATTATTCTTTACTTTGAAGATAAGCAAACTCATTAAACAATTAGCCAGCAGCAGATCTTGTAGAAAACAGATTTTTTTTTTTACAGAACTTTTGGTTCCTAGGAACGAATTCTCTGTACTGCTGCCTATCTTTTGTCTCTTTCAGATCCAAAGATTCCATCTATTTCTTATCCTAAGAATCACAACCATGTCTCTTGTCCAGGAGGGAGCTGCACAAGATTCATGGATACAGTATATTAGAGAAGTGCACTCTTAATTTAGCAATTAAATCACAGGACAAACCCTATTGACGATGGTTCACTAGCATTATCTATCATTTATTCCCTAACCCCACAGCACTGGTTCTCAGTTTGCTGCTGGAGAGATTTTAAAAAACCCAGTGTCTATACTTTATCTGTCATCAATTGAAACAGAAACTTTGAGGTGGAATAAAAAGCATTACATTCTGTAGAATGCTCCTGGTGACTAACCTCGAGAACCAGTGTTTCACAGAAACTACACAAGAAAGACTCAGTGAATTAAATGTAAGTGCATGATACAGGAAACAAAATCAAATGTCATGCAACATCACAGGAAGGATGCAATTTATGTTTTAAATTTTAAAAACAAGTAGATTTTTAGTTTCTTTATTTATCCCAGACAGATCTGGCAGTTGATGGTAACCATATCACTTTTCATTTAATAGTTAGTGCTTCAATATTGGTTCTGGTAGAGCTTGCAAGAGAATGGGTAGTGTCAAGTACCTCCCTGTTTGAAAATGTTGCTGCTTTGTATACACATTACTAACCGTCAGGAAATAGCAATCTTAATTGAAATGGGAGGAAAGTTGTGTGTGATTATTTAAAATGTGGAGAAAGAGCAAAGCTTGCTAACACCTGTAGCCAGCCCTAGTGGCAGCAGACAATTGCTACTTGGCAAGCCCACTCATGTTTCTACCATTCAAAAGAAATATTATATTTATACACAGAGACAAAGACTAAAAGGATTTAGCTTAGTACTGAAAAGGTATCTAAAGCAGTTATTTTCAAAATATAATGCTACATGACCAGCTGCACCCCACACATATCTGTTGATCTGTCCCCAAGTCCTTATCAGTTTTCAGCCACAATGATAATAAACTACTGTAATTCTGGTAGGTTTACTTTTGGTAAGCAGACACTACTCATTTATATAATTCCTGTCAAGTGTATAAACACCAAATTGTAAAAAGTTGATATTTTATTCTGATTTCATGCAAAGTTTGTTTCAGAAGAATCTTAAATCATCATTACTGTTCGAGGTTTAAAGAAAACTTACTTCAAGCAAAATTTGCAAATGGGAAGGTATATTAGCACCAAAGCAGACATCATGCCAACCTGTGGAATATCTGACTGTATAACTCACTCTACAAAGTAAATTTTGTTTTATGTTACATTCACATCATATAAATCCCGGCAGTGATCTGTAACTATGATTAAGCCTACAAAGGAACTTAGGAGATCTGAGGAAGAACTTTAAGGCAATTCAGCCTGAAGTACTCAGAAGAGGACAGAAACAGAGTCCGAAAAGCTTTATGAACTAGGTCTAGGAAACACATATTAAAAATACATGATATTGCCTAAACTGAGAAGCTCTTTCTTCCATTCAACATAGGGCACAAGCACATTCACAGAGAAACTAGACATTGGAATCTGTTACTGTTATCCTTTAAAATGTTGCACCTGCTTCCAACACATTTATACGTGGGTATGCCACTGCATCTGCCTGACAATGCTAGACTTCCCAAATGTTTGGGGAAAAAAATTAAAATAAGCATCTGCTAATAACAATTTCACTTCATCCTAAACAGTTTCATTTTGGGCTGAGGAGAAAAAGCCAAATTATGAAAAGAATAAAACTACCTTTAAAACTCTACGGCAAAACACATTTCAGAAGGTAGGGCTACAAATAGATGCACACTGTAAATATAAAATCATCAGACTGGCTGAGGCTGCAATTTAAACTGAAGCTCCAATATGAACTTACCTGATTTAAAGTCCTTTCAACATATGCTTACAATCAGAACAGATCTCCTTTTTCTAGCTGCATAGTAAAGCATAACACCCTCAAGTATATTTTACTTATCTCAGTCTCATCTTTCATCAGAAGCAATACTTTCCAATTTCATTCAGAAGCAGCCGTCCCTGAACAGACTCAGAATGTGCACAGAAACAGTAATGGAAGGGATCTAAGTTAAACCCTACAGCGGCATCAAGAAAATATCAACATCCCACTGAAAAGGCAGCAATTGCTTACAAGAGTTGCTTTTCTTAGCTCATTTTCCAAGCTAGCCCCTTTTCAAACATAAAACCGTTCGGTTATGAAAGAGGATCTTACCTGAGCTGATCATACTGTGCATTCTTTGCTGAGCCAAGAGCTGCTCCCGTCCAGCCACCCCATCTGAGGAAAAACAAGAGTCACTCTCGTAAATTGTCTGCAGCATATTCCAGTCACTCTTATTTCAGCTACATGAAAGATTCATCACTGCTCAGTGCACTGGCCCCAAGAGCTACCCTGGCTGGTCCTCCCTCCTCCCTGAGGAGAAGCAGCAGAGGATCAACTTCGACAATGATTTCCTTTCTGCTCTGTGGACATACACTTTTAAAAAGACCTGGGCACTTTCCCCATGTTACCAACCTGTGTGTAGAGTGGAAAGGACAGAGTGGATGCTAGAGCTCTCAGGAGTTTTGGGAAAACTAAAAGCAGGTGGGAAATAGGAATGTGCTTCAAGGTTATTTCTTTGTCAGAATAAGTAGAAAAATATTAACTCTACCCACGAGGAAAAGAAACCAATTAAACCTGGCTTATAGTTCTTCAGGCTGCTAGTGTTTCTTTGCAAGAACCCTCAGTCCAGCAAGTGGCTCCAGCCGGTGCCCCTCTCCTATCTGTGTGTCTCTCTCTTCCCTTCCGCAGTCCCTCTCAGCTCAAGTTGGCTAAAGCTAGTGATAATCCATTTGCATATGAATCAACAACAGCATGGCCCACAGGCACAGAAATAGAACAATGGTCGGCCTGAGCCAAAAATAGGTCAAGCATGGCCGAGTGATTGGAGCCTGCATTAATGCATTTAAAAATACCCCAGCAAACCCAGCTGTCCAGCCTCTATCTTTCAAACCATAATTCTCTGTTGCAGGGCCTTAAAAGCAATTAACTCTTTCCTCCCTCCGAGCCTGCTTTATGGACTGTTTCCATACTGGCAATTCACTTCCAAAGCAAGAAAGGCAAGAAAAAAAATTAAGAATCATAATTCTAAAAGGGCAAATGCACATACATTTGATTTCATTTTATTTTTGTAGTATGTGTTTTTGGAAGAGAGAGAGGAGAGAAGTGCAGAGCTCTGTATTGGTTCTAAAATAATACTGGAAGCTTTTGCTCATAATGTGGTTTCTGCCTCACCCACGCACAGCAATCCTGGTGTTCTATTTTTGTTGCCTGTTTCTCTGGCTACACTGCAGTTGGCTGTAGCACTAGAAGCTTTTCTGCCTTCTAGTTTCAGCACTGACAGGAGATTTAGTAGAGGTAGTTTTGGAAAACAAGTACACCCCAGAATATGAAGGATTGGCTTGATTTTTTTTTTAATTTGCTATTTATGTAGGGCAATTGTCCATTTCACAAATCCTAATGTGATCTTAGTTCCAACTATCAATTTTATTGCATCCAATTCCTGTTATATCTAAAAACAAAAATACAAAATCATGGCTTAGACCTGAAATGTTGCACTCTCTCAGGCTAACTCCAATTTACTTGCAAAAGAAAAAGGAAGAGGATACTTTCTTATGGCTTCAGAATAACTGAATATCTGCATCTGTTGATAAATATGTTCAGTACCCACACACAAATGTTCTGTGTTCATCTACACGTTGGGTGGCTTAAATACAGACCTTATTTTTCTGTAGAAATGGCATTTAGCATAGTTAATAGAATCCCAGACCAGAACACATTGTTGCATTCACTCATAAAGTAAATGCATTACACAGTACAAAGTAGTATAAAACTTGTATAATCTTTTATAAATTTATAACATCATTTCTCCATTTTGTTTTGTTGTTTGCTTGTATATGTTCATATAATCACAGTCATAATTTAATAACATACTTATATTAGGATTTAATTCTCATTCTGGCCATCTAGTAAATTTAGATCCTATTTTTTGTACTTTTTTGAAAAATTTTACCTATATGAATACAAAGTATGATATTTAGATTCATTTCAAAAATACTTATTAAAGTGAGTAAGAATTTATTATATTGAGATTTTTTACACTACCTTTTTAGCTTGACATTTGTCCGAGAAGTAAGTTCTGCATCCCAAAGGGGGATTTAAGCACTAAACATCTAAACACTCCCAAGAGCAACAAGAGTGAGAATCCAGATGTCATGGAAGCTCTCCTCCCTTTTTTGAATTAGATCAGCAAGAAAGATGTAATTCCTAAGGCATTAGTGGCAAATGGCAAAGAAACGGGTGAAGGAGATTGCTGTGTGGTCCCCAGGCTAGTCAGGTGAAGTAAGGACCTTGGTCAGGGAACGAGACAAGGAGAAGCAAAGAAGGGCATTCGAAGTTGTGCTGAAAGGAGAAATGTGCCAGATCATTTACCAGACACCCACTCCTGAATTCCTCTTCTTCTCTAGATGAACTTCTCTCTTTTTTTTTTTTTTGGTACTGGGGATCAAACTTGGGTCCTTGGGCTTGCGCAGCAGGCGGCGAAACCACTGAGCTAAATCCCGGGCCCTCTTTAATACCACACTGCTTAAAAATGTATTTGGAAAGATAAGTTACAAAATGTTTTTAAAAACTAGTCATAACTTCATTTAACTTAAGCTAAACAGCAAAATTTTATGTCCATACCAGCAGATAACAAAATGTAATTCCATCTGATATTACAAACTTTAGGTTAAGAAATGTGTGTATAACATCAAAGGATAGATACAGTGTGGCTGTAAACATTTTGCTTCAGAATAATATATGTAGTAATCACACACAGCATTTTAGACTTGGGATGAATGAGAAACTGTCCACAATGGTCCTCAGACTTGGCCTCAGGCCCCAAAGGTAGCTGGGAGCTGCCTCCGTTTCCTCTAGAAGAGGTTTGCCTCTCTGATCAAGGCAGCACCATTTTCATCTGTTCACCTTGGGGAATGCAAGATTTCTTTCTTGTTTATTCTTTCACATACTAAAACAGCATTTTTATCAAAGTGTATTTGACAAACCAAGATTTTATATATTTAAGGTATACAATTTGTGGATTTGATATAGATATAAAATCACTACAATCAAGCTACTTATCCGTCACCTCAGCAAGCTATTTTCTTTCCTCCTTCCCTTCCCTCCTCCTGCTTTCTGCTTTCCTTCCTTCTTTCCTCCGCCACCCCCTGAAAGGGCTAAAAAGATTTGCTTAAGATATAACCCAGGTAATTAACCACAGAGGCCTAGCATTAGACTTATCTAGACCTAATACTTTTTCCTTGCTAAAAATCATAAAAATAATTATTGGGAATATTCAGGATAAAATTTAATGTGATCTTTGGATGACAAACGCTATCACTGTCTAAATGTTCACCATATTTTTTAACACAATATAGAAAAGCCACGATAAACGTGACGGATAACAAAATCATAACACTGGCATAATATATGCCTACACATCTCTTGTTTTTTGATGTTTAATTACACCCTCAATCCCACAATTGACAAAAAGGAGCCCCAAGCATTTATTGTCATAAACAAAAAATAGAACAGACTCCAGAATAGTCAGTTAGTAATTATTTCTCAAAAGTTCCAGGAAAGGGTATTCTTGTATGTCTTCATTTTGACCAAGGTTTTAACTTGAGGTTTATTTACATTTCATCCCTACATTCTTTCAGCATTTTTCCCATTGGCAGTCTAGTTTTTCATTTAACTCTTAATAATGAAACAATAATTTAGTGTGAAAACATACTGTACATTTAAATAGATCTCACTTATCTCTGGGAAAAATATAAACATCATTAAAATCTCCACCACAGGTACTGATTACCATAAATTTCAAAAATTAAAAACACTGAGTTAATTCTCATGTTATCTCAATAATGTTGGTAAGAAAATGTGACTAAGTTTCTTTTAGGGCATTTGCTACACCAATTTTACTGATTTGGGGTAAAATATATTTTCTAAGAACTTTAAAAAGCTAATAAAATGTCAAGCTAAAAAGGTAGCATAAAAACCTCAATATAATAAATTCTAATTCACTTCAATAAGTATTTTTGAAATTAATCTAAATTTTTTGCATTCATATAGGTACAATTTTCAAAAGTACAAAAAAATGAGTTCCAAATTTAATAGATGGCAGGAATGAGAACCAAATCCTAATGTAAACATGTTATTACATTATGATTATGATTTTATGAACATATATGAGCAAATAACAAAATGTACTAGAACTAATTCCAGAAATATCCTTGGACCTTTAGTTTAGAATGACCTTTTCTCAAATCAATCTTATCGATGACTGAAGACCCTAGCAGGGAAGGTAGTATAATATGATTTATTCTACCACAAAATATTCTCTGTTCATCTGTAATCAATTGGACTTTTCATAAAGTGCTGAATTCTATGATTTTGCAATGTAAGCTTTAAATGTCCCCTGAAATACTGAACTGTGCCTTACAAGAATGCTACAAGCTACTTGCCAGTAAATGGTGACCTCCATTCACTCAAACAATCACTGACATTCTCCCTTTTCCCACCCTCAGATTTCTCAAACTACTGAAGCAATAAAATCATACACATTTGTTTGCAGGCAGCAAACTTGGTATTTTCAGGTCCCTGAGGGACAGGAGGAATGGTGAAAGTACAGTGCATAGCACTGTTTTGTTAATTAGCTTATTTATCTGAATTTTCTATCACTTAGAGGAACAGCACCAACTCTTACTGAGTACTTGATATTGTATTTACAAGTATTTACAAGTGATTCTTCTCAACTAAAAAAGTGTAATTGGTCATCAAGCAGTTTTCAGATGAGAAAATCATGACAGGATCCATCAGCAGGTAAAGAGTTTAAGAAAAGACAGCTACAATGAAATTCAAGGAAAGCTTTTATATGAAAAAAATCAACAGTACCAAAAACTCAAGTCATTGGCCATACTTTGGTTGAAAATAATTTCTTCCCTAACTTTTCTCTTCAAATGGGGTATGCTGACCGATGAGTTAGTCTATTTAAAAAAAAAATTACAGACAGTTAGACATGCAGTCAACCTTCCCCTGAGCTACTAAATCAGAATCTCTGGAAGAAATGTGTATTTTAACAAGCCCTCCAAGTGATTCTGATGCACAAGAAAGTTTGAGAACCACAAGATTAGATCATCTTTCCAAAGCAATAATTAGATGGCTAAAAATATAGATGCATAAAGTATCTTTTTACTGCA